TATAAGTAGATTCTGAAACAGTTCCCAAACACTGCATGGGCATTAGTGTCTTCGTTAGTCGAATGTTGCCTGACTGACTTTTGCTGGTTGATTTTGTTGTTTCAGACCATTTAAGAATTGGGTTCGGTACCAGTTAAAATTCATTTTACTCTTTGAAGGTAGTGCAATCATAGAACTGTGAAGTTAAAATTAATTTTTTACAGAATTTTCAGTTATAGATCACATGGATGCACGAGGCAGGAGATTGGACTTGGTAACAGGGACATGGCCATTGCCATGCATGTTTCTTTTTGGACTTCTGTTTAAAAGCCTTTTTAATAGGATGGGCTGATCCGTCGCGCATGGTGGAGAAATGCATGTGATTCATTTCTCTCTCTTTTCTATTTCTATTACAGTTTTTATGAAATTGAAGTTGAAGCTGCATTAACTTGAAAACAGTATTGAAGTCTTGAAGAGTACTTTTTATTTCTTAAAGGGCTTCACATATGGTCTTTTGTGTATTTCTCATAATAATTAAAAAGAAATCCTCAATGGCCCATAAGCTAATTTCAACAGCTGAAGTTCATGCAACTTCAACATCAAATGCTCAAGAATCGTTAGTTGGCAGAGGAATTTAGTTGAGTTGGGAGAAATAGAAAAATTTATGCCAGTCTGTCTGTATTTGCCAAATTGTATTCAAATATCTTTACCTCTTTGGCATGCTTATATCTTACATGATATTTGACAAGTTGCACTATGGTTTTTATCATATGAAATGACTCAATTAAATTTTGTCTTAAGCTACATAATGGTATTCTTCTGTTCATGTTAGGTCTTAACCATATTCGGATATTATTGGTATCTTCTAGTAATGCCCTTGCACCGACTTCTTGAGATGCATGTAATTTAGAGTCTTTTTTTTTTATTTAAACTTAATTTTATTTTAATTCATTTAATTTGGGACATATGGTTGGCATATTTTTTTTTTTTTTTTTTTTTAACTTAATTTTATTTTAATTCATTTAATTTGGGACATATGAACATTAATAACCAGTGATTGAGATTGGCATATCGCTTGGAGGTCAAGTTTCACAAATCATGACTTGTTAGTTGGAGTTGATCAATACAAAATTACCCTACAGCTTTATGCTAACAATTAAAATTTGTATGAATTTTGAGGGCAAAATTGGCAATATGTAAATTACAAAAGTGATTGTTGTAGGACGTGAAAATGTGCAGTGGAAATGAAAATTATACCAGCAATAAATTGAAATTTTGGGAACTTTAAGGTGAAAATTTGATAGGGGACTCAAGTGCTCCAAGGACAAATATTAAAAAACTGCAGCTGCAAATTTCCTAAGGAATTGGCAATAAAGGTTTTTTCAACAAATTAAAGTGAACTTTCAGAGGCAATTCCGTTTGTTGAGACTAAGAGACTGTTTGGTACGAATTCTTTAAATTTCACCTTTTGAAGTCGTTTTTAACTCCATGACCAGTAAAATAATTTTGCATTCACTAATTTTTTTTCTTTAATTTTAAATTACATTAGTCAAAAATTTATTTTCAAAAACCTACACCAAACAGGCATTAAGAATGCAGCACTTCAACATAAGGGGTCACAAACCATCTCATCTGAAGTATGCCCTTGTTTCATTCTCAATTTTTGGAAAAATATATTTTTGAATAGTGTTTTGACATCATTTTAACTACACATTTTTCAATAAAATAATATTACAAGAAAATTTTTTTAATTTATTTTTTAGCTATATATTTTTCATCATTACATTAATAAAAAATGTATTTTTATGATTAAAAATGGGGTCAAGCAAGGGCTAAATGGTGCATTCAATCAAAGCCAAAATCGAGAAGTCAAAAAGTGTTAAAACAACGGGCAATGCTATGGGGACAAGCCCATGTCCAAGCAGTTTAACCCTAAAACAACATCATGGATTAACTTCAATTTGCAGATTTGAAGCGTACACATTGTACAAACTTTGGTTTGAATATCAGGTTTAACATTGGGAATGACCGTATACACACACATAAAGGTCTGACATTATTTTATTCACGCGGAACCCACACATCCACGTGAGTGCACGTTCATCCTCACGGATCGCTTGGCTTTATAAGCTGTGATGATTCACTTTTTAAGAGAAGAGGGGAGGTCCCATCAGATGCTCTGATTTAGGTGGCCTAGCTTGGATATCCTATTGTTACTCAATTTTTTAAAGGATCAAATTTCAATTATAATCACACTTTTATAAGATTTACAAATTTATTAACTTTATAATTATATATTCATAATTTTTTATTAAAATTTGTTAAAAACTTTTATTGGTGCGGAAGCGTGTTTGAATTCTTGTAATAAGAATTATAATGAAAGAAATATGAAACGATATAGGAATAATTTGCTTTATTGATTGAATAATGAGTAATTGATTGAAAATTGTACAATAGCTTCTATATATATAGGCAGATTGTTCCTATTCCTAATAGTACTAGGAAATTGAAATAAGGAAACTAGTGAACTAATAAAACTTTATTCTAATTAAAACTCTCAAGAAAATAAAAGCCCTAACACAAGAAAATAAACTCTTAGAAAATATAAAATATAATTGTAGTAGGAATCATATTGTAGTTGTACTACATCAATCCCCTCCACTTGAAAGAAAACCCGCCCTCGAGTTTTGTGTTTGCAAGGAAAATTCATCTGGAGGAAAGTATTCATAAATATCAGCAACATTAAAAGTATTGGAAATGTTCATATCTGCTGGAAGATCAACTTTATAAGCATTAACGCCAATTTTTTGAAGAATGTGAAAAGGATCAGTCTTCTTATCTTTAAGTTTATTGTAAGTGCCAACAGGAAAACGATTTTTTCTGAGATGAACCATCACTAAATCACCTTTGTTGAATAGCTTAAGACGCCTGTGTTGGTCAACAGCAACCTTGTAACGAATATTTGCATCTTCTAAATTTTGTTTTACCTTGTGATGAATTCTTTGAATACGTTCAGCAAACTCTTCTGCATTAGGATTGACATTAGGAAGTCGAATCAAATCTACTGTATGCCTTGGAACATTAGTGTAAACGACTTCAAAGGGAGTCTTCTTAGTGGATTGATTAGGCATACTGTTAAAAGCAAACTCAATTTGTGGAAGGGCAGCATCCCATTGTTTGGTTTATCTCCACTAACTGCTCGAATCATATTGCCAAGAGTTCGATTAGCCACTTCTGTTTGACCATCTGTTTGGGGATGATTTGTGCTACTAAACTTCAAAGAAGTGTCAAATATTTTTCACAATGTCCTCCAAAAGTGACTTAGAAACTTTACATCTCTACCAGAAGTTATAGAACGAGGGATACCATGTAGGCGAACGATCTCGCGAAAAAATAAATTAGCCACGTAAGAAGCATCTGCTGTTTTCTTACAAGGAATGAAGTGAGCCATTTTTGAAAATCGATCAATTACGACCAAAACAGAATCAACTTCTCGTTGAGTTTGTGGGAGACCGAAAACAAAATCCATTGTAAGATCTTGCCATATTGTATCTGGAATAGGCAAAGGGGTATAAAGGCCAATATTTTGAGCTTGTCCATTAGCTTTCTAACAAATTGGGCAACGTTGGACAAAACGACCAATATTTCTTTTGAGCTGGGGCCAATAAAATCTCTCTTCAACAAAGCTGATTGTCTTATCTCGACCAACATGTTCGCCTAAACCGCCTGCATGTAGTTCTCGAATCAAGTGCTCACGCAAGGAAGAACGAGGAATGCATAATTGCGTTCCCTTAAACAAGAATCCTTCCTGAAGAAGGTAATCGGGTATAAATTCCTTATCATTGCATCGAGCCCATATATCTCCAAAATCCTCATCAGTTGCATATAGTTCCTTTAAACAATCGAACCCAACTACTTCCGTACTAATTGTAGCTAAAAGAGATGCACGTCGACTTAATGCGTCTGCTACTTTATTCTGGCCAGATTTATGTTTTATAACAAAAGTAAATTTCTGCAAAAAGGTCATCCATCGAGCGTGCATTCGATTCATTATTTTTTGAGAATTAATAAACTTCAAAGCTTGATGATCCGTAAACAACACAAATTCTCGTTAAACCAAGTAATGTTCCCAATGCTTTAATGTTCAAATAACGACATAAAATTCCAATTCATAAGTAGTCCACTTTTGTCGTGGTTCACTAACCTTTTCACTGAGAAATTCAATTGGACGGCCTTCTTGGGACAACACTGCTCCAATGCCCATAACTGAAGCATCACACTCAACTTCAAATATTTTCTCGAAGCTAGGTAGTGCCAACACCGGTGTAGTGCATAACTTGTTTTTTATTGTCTCAAAACTAACTTCCTGTTCTTTGTCCCACTGGAATTTGCCCTTTTTAGGCAATCGGTGATATGTGCCATAATTGTACTGAACCCTCGAATGAAGCACCTATAAAAAGTTGCTAATCCATGAAAGCTCTGTACTTCTCGCACGTTTTAGGAGCTGGTCACTCGCGTATTGCTTTCATCTTTGTCTCATCAACTTGAATACCATCTTTTCCCACCATAAAACTAAGAAATAAAAGTTGGTCGGTCATAAAGCTGCACTTTTTGAGATTAATATACAATTTATTTTCCTGAAGGGCTGAAAAAACTTCTGTAAGATGTGCTAGGTGCTCATCTTCATTTTTGCTGTAAATAAGAATGTCATCAAAATAAACCACCACAAATTTTCCCACAAATGGGTGAAGAACTTGGTTCATCAATCGCATAAATGTGCTCGGTGCGTTCGATAGCCCAAATGGCATCACTAACCACTCGTAGAGACCATCTTTTATTTTAAAAGTTGTTTTCCACTCATCGTCAGGGCGTATTCGGATCTGATGACAGCCACTCCTTAAATCAAGCTTGGTAAATATCACTGCACCTTCCAACCTATCGAGCATATCATTGAGACGCAGGATGGGAAAGCGATACTTGATTGTTATTTTATTAATGGCACGACTGTCTATTCACATTCGCTAACTGCCATCCTTCTTTGGAATGAGTAAAACAGGAATTGCACAATGACTCATACTTTGGCGGATTAACCCCTTATCAAGTAATTCATTAACCTGTCGCTGCAACTCTTCGTGTTCTACTAGGCTCATGCGATAATGTGGCAAGTTAGGTAAACTAGCTCCAGGTGCCAAATCAATATGATGTTGGATATTTCGCATAGGGGGCAACTCGTTTGGTAACTTGTCGGGTGCTATTTTGGCAAAATCAGCAAGTACTTTTTGAACTTTGGTAGGAATCTGTATAGTTACTTCTGATGGACCTTTAACAACCAAGGCCAATACTGTGTGAGGCTCTTTTACTTGTTCCAAGAATTATGGGCCTGAGATGTTGGTAAAAAGTGGTTTCTCTTCCTTGATGGCAGGATTGGTTTCCACAGGTTGAGATTGTGGTACCAAAACGATCTTCCTATTTAACCACCAAAATATGAAAGTATTATCTCGTCCCTTATAAGTGGCATCAACATCATAGTGCCATGGACGACCCAATAAAATGTGACAAGCATCCATATCCGCCACATCACATATAATTTCATCTTTGTAATATTTTCCAATTGACAAAGGAACCTTACAAATCTCTAAAACTTGAACTTCCAAGCCCCTTTTAATCCATGCAATCTTGTATGGCGAAGGGTGTCTCTCGCCTTTACCACTGCTTTCGAAAAGACATTCTCACTGCTACCACTGTCAATGATCACATTGCATACCTTATTACGAACAGTGCATCGAGTCCTGAAGATCTTGTGTCGTTGCGAGGTATCTGACCTTTTTGGAGCAAGCAAAAGGCGTTGGATAATGCACGCCAATTCTTCCCCTGTATCTGCATCTACAACATCACCACCTTTATAATCATTGTCTTCAAGATTTTGCTCTTCCCCCACTGTCGTCTTCTTCTACAAAGTTAATAGATCGTCTGTTTGGACAGCTATTTGAAAGATGACTTGGTTGATTGCACCGGAAGCACTTTCCCAGATTAGGACGTGCATAAGGGTCATTATTGGCTCGTGGCTGTATGTGATTTCTGCCTTAGGTGTTAGATCGAACAGGAGCAGAAGTTCCTCTTTGATTTTGTGTTGAATTTTGGACTGGACTAGCATCCTTGTGGTTATTGTTGTTGTTATTTGAGGTTGTTGCACCCTTTGAAGTAGTATAAGTTTCTTGAATTGGTCGTCGAAAATTTCCTTGAGTACGGGCTGTAGTTCTATTCATCTGATTTTCCACTTTCATTGCTAAATTGACTGCATCTGTCATGGTCCAAATCTCTTGAAGGGCCAGTCGATCTTGAATGAATAATTTCAAGCCTCCTATATAACGAGCAATTAATTGAGCTTCAGTTTCAAACAAATTAACTCGAGCATTTAATCGATAGAATCCTCTGTATATTCATTTACTGTCCTGTTATTCTGTCGACAATTCTGATACTGCTGGTACAAAAATTGTTCATAATCCGGAGGAAGGAATCGCCATTGCAACAAGCGTTTCATCTTGGGCCAGGTTTGCACACGTTGCTTTCCTTGTCTTTGACGATTAAATTGTAATTGTTCCCACCATGCAGAAGCTCCACCTTTTAATTTGTACGCTGCTAGTTTAACTTGACTTTGTTCCGAAATATTTAAATAGTCGAAAAAATTTTCAACAATGTGGATCCAATCCAAAAAATCTTCAATATTTAATCGACCGTCAAAACTTGGCAAGTCCATCTTCATCTTAAATTCTTGAACATTGGGACCTCTATTGTTAGCCCTTGGTCGAAAATTTTCTTCTTCTTCGAATGAATAATCGAACCCACGTGGCCGTCTTTGTTGAAGACCCCTATCTCTTGGTTGCCGAACAAAATTAAGTCCTCGATCAAAATTACCTCTCCGGTCAAAATTAAATTGATGGTCAAAATTAATGCCTTGGTCAAAATTGTTGGCTTGGTCAAAATTGATTCCTCTTCCATAATCATCCAACCCGTCACGCTGGTTTCCAACATTGCGCCCAGTTTGACGAGGTTGTCCACCGGTTCCAGCAAACTCTCCCTCTCCTTCGCCCAAAACTTCTTGATGGTGTTCGCCGTCATCACTCCGGTCAAGGGGCCTTCTGTTCCGCCTTTCATAAACCTGTAAGGGTACGGGGATCGCTTCGTGGAAGTAACGATCTGCAACCGTATTTCTACGCACGCCACGCCCATCGGACCCTAGTCCATCACGCCTTGCGCCTCTTCTGCCTATCACTGGTCCTCCTTGCTGCCGGCGTGGGTTATTAACATGGGGTTGGCGTCGTTTACCCAAGCCTGGTTCATCGTGAAGGTGGACTACTGAGTGCGAATCCATGCCTACTGCAGCCCTTTGATTTCTTGCATCCAGGTAAACACCTTCTTCCTCGCTGTAATCTGATTCTTCTCCTTGTTGTCAGATTTTTGTCCAATTTGATTGTTTCTCCTTGGGTTCGAGTCTGTACTTCACAGTTAACGCAGTCACCAACTGCGTGAGATTGCGAAGAGCCTCGTCGATCCCCTCGATTCGTTGTTCGAGTTTGTTGAGCCTCCGTTCATCATCGACGGTCTGACTACCCCCAGTACCTTCGTCAGCCATCGGATTAAGGTGAATTCCTTGCTCTAATACCAATTTTGGTGCGGAAGCGTGTTTGAATTCTTGTAATAGAATTATAATGAAATAAATATGAAACGATATAGGAATAATTTGCTTTATTGATTGAATAATGAATAATTGATTGAAAATTGTACAATAGCTTCTATATTTATAGTCAGATTATTCCTATTCTTAACAGTACTAGAAAATTGAAATAAGGAAACTAGTGAACTAATATCACTTTATTCTAATTAAAACTCTCAATAAAATAAAAGTCCTAACACAAGAAAATAAACTCTTAGAAAATATAAAATATAATTGTAGTAGGAATCCTATTGTAGTTGTACTACATCATTTATAAAAAACTTTGTTGAATAACCTCTTAATTTTAAGTTAAGATAAAACCGAAATCGAGTGTTTTGAGTATTTTTGGACACAACATATAAGCTGATTGTCTAACGATAAAATTTTAATTGTTTTTTTCTTTATTAATATTGTTTTATTACTCACAAATCCTGCTTTAAGTGTAAAGTGGAATTGGAACTAGAAGAGCAATGGCTCAAAACTAAGCCACGTTTTGAAATTCATTCAATAAAAAATCTTTTTTCTTAAATTTATTTTTAACTATACATTTACACAATAAAAGTAATTTGCACATAAATTCAAAACTTTTACTACATTATAACCACACAATCTCTAAAAAAATTACTATTTCAAAACTCGTTTTTTCAAAAAAAATAAAAATAAAAAATAATAAAAATAATAATAATCATTAAAATGGATGTCCAACTTGGACTAACTAAGTTTAGCCTTGAATTACTATTGTAACGAAATTGGATATTAAGTTAAGCCAAACGACCCATTCTCGCAAGTGATCGCGCCTTCAAATGTCCCGGCGTGAGCCTTCCATGAATAAAATAATCCCAACCCCTTATGTGTGTATTGTGTCAATCCTACGGTCATCCATACATGCACTGTAGCTCAACCCTTGGATATTTTAGGTAAAAGAAGTACGTACAACCGCTTTATTAATAGTCAATTCCACGCGTCCGGCTGAAAACCTCTGTTTCCTCTTCTGTCTTTTTGCAAATTCCATTTAATTTATGCGGATCTTTCTTTTTCCAAATTCTTTCTGTATAATTTATCTAGAATAAATCGAAATTATTGATCAATATTGTTTAAGACATATTTGATGCAGATTTTTTATAATAAATTTTGTGAAAAGTTTTTTTTTTTTTTTTTTGGGGCGGAGGGGGGGAAAGGGGGAATGTATAATTAAAAGTATGAAAAAATTATGGGTCTAAATGCAAAATTATTTTATTAAAAGAATATGTGATTAAAAATAAATTTTAAATAATCTGTACCAAACAAGGACTTGTTGAATTGGGTATATACGCACATTTATTACTTGATCATAAAAATGTAGATAAAAAAAAAGAAAGAGAAATGCATTTTTCATCGAAACAATACAGAAATCTCACACGAAGATGAACCTCGTATGAATAAAATAGTGCAAAAAAAGGAAAAAAAAATGAAAAAATCTACTCCCTTTTTGTGTCTTCTCTGAAGGGGTTTTGTGAACCCTCCATCGGTACATAGTATGATGGAATGGACCATATGAGCACTGAAGCAAATTAGGATTTTGTTGAATTGATTCTTAGAAACTTTTATTCTACTGTGGGGCCCAGAACACAATTCCCAAAGAGCCCATTTGTTGGTTCCACAGCTTCAATTGCCCATAAAAGTGAGTTCTCAAAAGCAAGCAAGAGAGAATATAAAATGCAAGTGATCGCGCCTTCAAATGTCCCGGCGTGAGCCTTCCATGAATAAAATAATCCCAACCCCTTATGTGTGTATTGTGTCAATCCTACGGTCATCCATACATGCACTGTAGCTCAACCCTTGGATATTTTAGGTAAAAGAAGTACGTACAACCGCTTTATTAATAGTCAATTCCACGCGTCCGGCTGAAAACCTCTGTTTCCTCTTCTGTCTTTTTGCAAATTCCATTTAATTTATGCGGATCTTTCTTTTTCCAAATTCTTTCTGTATAATTTATCTAGAATAAATCGAAATTATTGATCAATATTGTTTAAGACATATTTGATGCAGATTTTTTATAATAAATTTTGTGAAAAGTTTTTTTTTTTTTTTTTTGGGGCGGAGGGGGGGAAAGGGGGAATGTATAATTAAAAGTATGAAAAAATTATGGGTCTAAATGCAAAATTATTTTATTAAAAGAATATGTGATTAAAAATAAATTTTAAATAATCTGTACCAAACAAGGACTTGTTGAATTGGGTATATACGCACATTTATTACTTGATCATAAAAATGTAGATAAAAAAAAAGAAAGAGAAATGCATTTTTCATCGAAACAATACAGAAATCTCACACGAAGATGAACCTCGTATGAATAAAATAGTGCAAAAAAAGGAAAAAAAAATGAAAAAATCTACTCCCTTTTTGTGTCTTCTCTGAAGGGGTTTTGTGAACCCTCCATCGGTACATAGTATGATGGAATGGACCATATGAGCACTGAAGCAAATTAGGATTTTGTTGAATTGATTCTTAGAAACTTTTATTCTACTGTGGGGCCCAGAACACAATTCCCAAAGAGCCCATTTGTTGGTTCCACAGCTTCAATTGCCCATAAAAGTGAGTTCTCAAAAGCAAGCAAGAGAGAATATAAAATGGCCTTCTAAAGAATATAGTAAAAGAGATGAGAATCATATTCCTTCGACCGACCTTATCTTTTATTCCTCAATTCAATTCTTTTTTTCTTTTTTTTTTTTTGGCATATTACTTGTCTCCTATTATAACTTGATCATAATCCAAAATCTTATGACAATTTTTATTAGTTGGGACATATATATTGATAAAGATTTCGGTTCATATCTTCATCTTAAATCTTTTTGTATAATTCATATCTTTGAGCGATATTTATTTGAATGATATCCTCAAGTAGATTGCTTGAGCTGCATATCTTTATAGTTTTCGAAGATTAGCGTGATTTTGTTGGACACGTGCAGAGAGATATTATGAATCATGCAACTCACAAAAGAGAATCTTGAGTTGCGATTTTATGTATCCTTTAAAGCTAAATTGCAATTAATTGGAGCTCACATTTTCATATCTAGGGGATTTACCTTGTGTATCTACACGGCTAAACTTAAGATATGACTCGATATTATTTATTGAGAATTGAGTTTCTATCTCAAAACGTCAACCCATTGGAAATAAACTGAATAATAACATCATAATTTCTAGCTATTGGGAGATATTTTGTTGGCACTTTTTCACTTTTTCTTTTTTTTGTTATTGAAAAAATTGACAATCATACATCCAATAACATGTGGCCACGCTATCTCACTAGATCATAATGTATTAGATTCTCTCTACACCGTCTCCAGTTGATGGACAAATTATTTAAGATACTAACGTCAAAGTTAAAAATTCGAGCACCTATTTTATAAGCTTGACAATTGGGCATGTTAGTGCAGCTTCTTCGACCATCCCCACAAAAATTAAAAAAAAAAATAAAAAAAAAAATAAAAATTAAATAATAAAGAGATATCCTGAAAACAAATCTCTAACAAAATATGCAAGCCTTTTACAACGTGTAAATAACAACATTCATTAATTATGTGTTGATAAAAGGGATGTATCACAACATTCAGTAAATGTACGTTATAGTTGGTTAACTCAATTGCAGGGGCGGACCCAGACCATTTGAACTGTGGGGTCAAAAAATTTTTTTTTTTAACAACGTATCATGAAAAAAAAAAATCGGTTGTTTACTGCTCATATTCGATATGTGCACTTTGGGAAGAAATCGTTGGATCATATGATATATTTATGGACTAAATAATGGATATGGACCATGTGATATGGATATAGATTTAGAATTTGGACTTTTTGAGACAGAAAATTAAGTTTTCAGCACAAAAAAAAAACAAAAAATTAAGTTTTCAGCACCAAAAAAAAAAAAAAAAAAAAATCAAAAAACTGTGGGGTCATTTGACCCCACATGACCCTATGTGGGTCCGCCCATGCTCAATTGGAATTTGACAACATTCTTGTTCTTTTTAAGAAGTACCTTTTCGATATTGTTTTCTTCACAATAGTATTACTTGTTTCGAGGAGTTGCAAACAATGTTTGCTTTTAGATGATCATTTGAAAAAAAAAAAAAAACACATTCATATTTATCATTAAGAATCTAATAGACAATTTGGTACCAAATTTGGTCATTTTTACTGGAATTATGAGGGCTAGACACTTTTAATTGACAAGCATGAAATTGGACATTTTTGTAAATTCCCTATTTGTTTTTCCAAACATACGATGGCCCTATCAATCTTTACACGACCAATTATGTGTTGTAAAACCTCTTTATATATGTGTGCGAGTGCAAATAGGCCCCCACTCACATGCACAAAAATCCCATCAAACCATAGAAATCACTTCTTTCTCTCATACACACGCAGGCCTCTCTCGAAAACCATGGAGAAGATGAAGAAATCCCAGATTCTGAAGCTTTTTCTGATATCAGCTCTGTGCATTATAGCACCACTTATATCCACATCGTTCAGACCTAAATATCTCTACCTCATCGTCAACATTCTCATCTTCGCAGTTGGAGCAGAATCTGGGCTTGCTTCTTTTTTCCTTGAAGCCCCAGAAAACAAGAAACCTGCACAGAAATCAATATCAGAGGTTTATCCCGATAATGAAACGTGGACCACCATCTCAAACAATGGAATTAGCAGTCTAGATCATTCTACGAACAAACCGGTTAAGGTTTTCGAAAAATCATCATCAGAGAAAATTGCTGATACGGTGAAGGTACAAAACGTTTTAGACAAATCTCCTTCGACTCCAAGCCTGTTTTTTATTGGAGCTGCCGAAGAAGATTGCACTGAAGAACACAACGATGATGACAATGGAGAGGAGACTGGGGAGCTTAGTGAGCAGGAATTATATCATAAAGCTGAGACATTTATTGGAGACTTCCATAATCAGTTGAAGATGCAGAGAGAAGAATCATGGAAGAAACTTCGTGATATTTATCAAAAAGCCTTTTGAACACCTTTGAATTTACTGGTTTTAATTTTATTTTCTTTGGTCTGTTGGTTTACATATGGGGTTATATATAATTACTGGTGGACTAGCTTGTTGGATATATAGCATAATTTAGATTAGTAGTGTCATTGTACAGTACTGTAATTATATGGAATTTAATGGATTAATATTTGTGGTTAATCACTGGTTTAATGCTATCAGATACTAGAGGATATTATTGTTACGATTTGTTGATGATTAAAAATGATGTAGTAAGATCAACTTAAAGAAATTTAAACAAAGTAATAATTTTATTGGTGGACAGAAAAAGCTTGTGTGTATATATACTGGAAATTTGCTTAGTTGAGTATTATAGAGAATTTAATCAGCTTGGTCCATTTCGTTCGATCTTTTCTTCCTTGCATAGGCCACAAATTAGGGTTTACTATTCCGGCCTTTTCAAGCTACAATGTCCGACCTAGTGATGCGTGATTCTGCCCTGTTTGGAGGTTTTTCATTGGCTGGGGAGTTCGGCATAACTCACCACTAAATGACTCAACGGTAGAATAATAAGTGATACAATCTATTCTGATTTAGCCACAATTGTATTATTTAGTTATCGTCCCAATCTTCAAGTAGTCACGTTCTACCAATGCTTAGCTAGTAAGACCTACATATTTCTTAATAAGTCACTGCAATGGCTCATCATGACGCCTTAGTCATAACCTGCTACCTTGGTCTTTGTTGCTTTTCCTTGATTGGAGGTGACAGCAATATTGACATCATAGAGGACACGCCTTCGCTATTGATTGGTCACAAAAGGTGGTGTTGATGTCGTGGAGAACGTCTCTCATTTAATCATGATGATGTTTCCTTATGAAACCTCCAGTTAGCCGGCCTGCGAGGGTAGGTTCCAAGGCCGGTCCTGTGCTGTCGGGGCCCTGAGGCGAACTTTATAAATTAAGTCCCCCTCCTTAGGAAAAAAAATTTGTATTATGCGTTTCCTTTTTCATTTTTTGAGTTCTAGACTCATATTTAGGAGGCACCATGGTATATGACTACGTGCGTCTATGCAATTGATCATTCGATTAAATCTAACAAAAGTCAATATAACCCGACAAGGGTGCAATACTACAATGCAATCATATAAGCCGACAAGACTTCAAACATTTCCTATATATTTAATAGTTTATAAATAAGCAAGCAAAAGCCATTGCTCACCTGAGAAATAGGATTTGAGCAAAAATTATGTAATTACACGTAGGACCTATAGCAGAAGAAAAAGTTTATAGTCAACACATTTCTCTCTCTCTCTCTCTCTCTCTCTCTCTCTCTAAATACACGAGACAAAAAAAAATGTAATGATCACAGGTTCAGAGCATATTCATGTATATAAATGTCTAAAGATCATAGTCAAGTGCAGGCTAATTAGATTGTAATACTCTATTCGGAATTTCATAACAGAACATAAAATGCACATTAAGTTATTCACTTATCATATAGTGAGAACTAACCTTAGCAAATACTGCGACTATTTTGGGGAGATATTGATTGTTGGGACCCAGAAGTTCCCTGTCGGACCTATAAGAGGAAAACAGATCAATATACAGAAATGAAGGTCTTTAGCAACAAGTTTGGTTTCCAACAATGCCAAATTAGAGCCATCTCCATTGTCTACCTCTCGACCATTGTGCACAGCTGCTCATGAACAACTTTTGCTTCAATAAGATCACCTTTTATAGGTAAGCAGCTCAACCAGGCAGGAACTACCTGCTAGTAACATTCGGCCATAAGAATTTGACAAAATGCATGAAGTAACAGGAAATTGAGTAATGAAGACACATCTCTATTCACAGAAGATAACTCTTCCAGAATGATTTGACGTCAATTTTCTCTGAATAATTATTTATGCTTCTCCCCATTATCAATTATTTATGCTTCTCCCCATTAATCATTATCATCAGATTTATCAAAGCATCTTCAATCTTGATTATGCACATATTTATTTTAATTTCGTAATGATGAAAATAAAAAACAACATAAACAAAAACAAAACATAAAAAGAAAGACAAGAAAACAAACAAGAAGAAGAAAGGCTCACATGGTAGCAGAAGGTAGTGGTGAAGACTGAAGGGCTGAGGTCGACATCGGCGACTCGCCGGCAACAAGCGGGTTACAACCAATTCACTCAGCGACTCGGCGTTGGGCTGCGCAGTGTAGGGAGAATTAGGTTTGTTTTGTCCAAATTATCTTCTATGTTGGAAACGATTTCACTTAAGAGGCATATGGGCTATATGGGCCATGGATCTATGGCTATATTGATGGGCCTATTTAAAAAAAAAAAAAAAAAAAGCCTCAAGCAAAAAAAAAAAAAAATTTAGCCCAAGTTTATCGTCTTCCTCTTCAAGCTTCCCATCTGCAATCACCTGCAACAATGGCGATTGGCCACTATCTTCCCTCTGAACCTGTAAATTATGCATCGCCACAGTATGTCAGTGACCGTGGGGAGATGAAAATTATTTCTTCTTCCAGTTTTTTCATTTAATTGCCAAAAAAAAAAAAAAATGTTATGGCGAAGTGAGGCCCCCTACCAGTTGAGGCCCTGAGGCGCAGGCCTCATCTACCTCACCTCAGGACCGGCTCTGGGTCACTAGGTTCCAATGTCCGACCTTAAGCACTAACCTATCTTTCACTTTCTTGACAAATGAACTCTTTTGACTGTCTTAAAGTGGATCCTCAAATGGTCCGATGTGGTCTTACAGATCGATCACCAACAGAATTCCTGTAGCTATATTGCATAGTAGGTATGGCTTACAATTGAACAAAAATCGAGCAGCCAATATGTGCTGTTGTAACAAAAATGTCATTTTGAGTGTTAATTGGAGGGGGGTGGGGTGGGTGTTTGATTCTCATGTTTCCTAAAATACATTTTTCTCTCTATTCTTTTCAATCACATACTTTATCAAAATAATATTACACACGCATATCAAAAACTTTTCCTTTTTTTAACCACATATTTTTCATCAATGTACTATTCCAAATACATTCTTAAAAAATAATGGGGCTCAAACACCCCCTTAATGTTTTTATTTAAGTTAATTTTGTAGCTAGCATGCAAGCTTAAGTATGTAGTCAATAAGTCGATGCTTGTAATGTAAAAATAAAATGGTGTGTGTGTGTGTGGGGTGCAATACTAAACTAGATATAGAGCATGTTTGGGAGTGATTTTGAAAATTGATTTTTTGACCGTTAGGAAAAAAGTGGGGTCCACCTGTGAGAGAAGAAGTCAAATATGACGGATGAAATAGTGAAATAATGGTAAAAAAGTCAAATTTTTAGGTCAAAAAATCGGGTCCAAACAAGCCCATATTAGAAAGACCCTTTAAAAATTTATCAATTATTTTAAAGTCAAAATGATTGGATATGGATGAAATAGTATACGAGGAATTACAAATGTAACTATTAAACACTCGTGACATGCACATAATCTTGAATGACGTACGCAATTTAATATGTATTTCAAAAGTTTTCATTTGAAACTCAATGACGTAATTAAGAGCCCGTTTGTCCTCCATTATTTGAATTTATAATGGAAGAATAGTAATTTTTTTAAAGATTGTGTGGTTGAAAATTTTCGATTTCAGTGTAATATTATTTTATTGAAAATTGTGTGATTGAAAATAGGACGGAAAAAAATTAAATTAAATTGAAAAGCTTTAAAGGGGCCAAACGGGGGCTAAAGTATACATGTCAAGTTTTTAACTCTAGTTACTCTAGTTACTAGAATTTAATTTACTAATTGCAGTAAAAAGCCAATACAAACACAGCTCAAGTAGTAAAAACCTGAACCCAAATTTGTTAAGAGGATCTTCAAAAGATTTTTGAAACATGAGATGCTCTCTATTTTAAACAGCAAATCTTTAAAATCATGCTCCAAGAGATTCTTTAAATTAACATTTTAATTTAGAGAATGAGTCTGGTTCTCATATTTGGAGAGCTAAACTCACTCTCTATAATTAAATATATTCAAAGTATTTTAATTTTCTATATAGGAAAAATGATGCAATAATCTAGAGAAAAACTAGTTAAAATAAAAGATAGAGAAATATAATAAATATTTTTTCGGAGTAGTAAAATTAAATGTTAAATATAAAGTGAGTGTTGGAGTGTTTCAAAAATTTTACTCTCTAGATTTATAGATATCCTTTAAATGATAAAATATGCCCTTTAAAAATAAAGAGTCTATTGGAGATACTCCAATCCTTTTTAGAAATATTACATGAAGGACTAAGATAACGAGTTGTGTTGAGAATTAGAAACCATAATTCTACATCATTAAAAGCAATAAAATTGTAGTAAAAAAAAAGATACAAAAGAAAATGCAAGATTTATAGATATTCCCTCTATATGAAACTACATTCTCATCTGCTGTTAGAGCAATTTACTATGGTGAAATAAAAGTTTCAAGAGAAAAATCGTACAAATATTTTCTGTAACCTCTTTTTTTTATGATAATTATAAAATTCGTGTAAAAACTCCATACAATGATAATAATTAGGTTCCATAACTTAACAAATTATTCACAAATTATTTGTCACAGACAATATAATTAAGATCAATTTTGTGTTGGTATTGGTTATATGTGTGAAAAATGTATTATGTTGAATCAACAATATTATCAAATAAAGGCTTAATTTAATTTATTTTATTCATATTAAATCCGACGTATTAAACACTTTCATACTCATGAATTGAAATCTTCACAAATATGGAGGCTGCAAAATTGGGCAGTCGACTTTGACACTTAGAGGCATAATCCTCAGAATTCGGGATTTTCTTTTCCTTGCCACTAGAACTTGGTGGACCACTTCAATAAATATTTATTTCCCTTTTTTAATCTTAGTTAAAGTAGCAGAGCCAATTTTTGGCTTTTGCATGAAGGATTCACATGATAAGTCATCAAGAAAAAGACTTGGTAATAGGCACACAACTGCAATTAATTTGTTTTGGGGAGATTTTCTTAAAATAATTTTTTATCACTTATTTTATGGGACGTTTTTTCTTTTTGATCACACATTATTTAAAAATATATATTTACTTGGAACGCTGCGCTCACCAAAAATCTGACCTTACTTGTCAAAGATGCACCTTATTCTTTTGTTAGAATGGTCGAACAATGCAATTTATTTGGGATTCTGTGCAAATATCCTTATTTGTTAATTCATTTTTGTATCATAAATTGGTAATTATCGCGGATATATTCCATTGAAATTGACAAAGATTTTTTCATTTGGAATTTTGTTCTTTTTATCACAAAATGTGAAGTCCCTTTTTATATTTTCTTGAGTGTGGTGTGAGAGAAAAACAATTGACATTTTTAACTTTCTTTTTGTTTTCATATTTAAATCCTGTGTACCGTGTAAGTTGTGGCATGTGAGGGCCCAAATGTAAAGGGCCCATGGATCCATCCTTATCCTACTTTTTGTGTAGGGAAAATGACCCAAAATCCTACATCTAAAGTGTACTATTCAAAAATAAGATGAAGTAATTTTAAATTGTGATAATTAAAATTCATTAAATTAATTAATATACATTTATTAAATTACATTAGTCTTCCTAATTTCTCTCCAAAAGATAATGAGCATGTTTAGTACAGCTTAAAATCCAATTAAAATTAATTTTTTGACCGTTATTTCACTATTCCAGCTGTCATTTTTTAATTCTTCTCTCACAGGTAAAACTCATTTTATCTCTAACGGTCAAAAAATTAATTAACAAAATCCCTATCAAACAAGCACAATATCTCTCTACAACCGATTCTTTAACTCTCTCTTTAACATACAAATACCTCTTTCTCTCTACAGCTTCCATTCATCGTGGTCAGGATCGTACAATTCCCACTTATCGTCGCCAGTGACGTAATCGTCAAAAAACGTCCACTTGCTTCTATACACATACGCGTATCTCTATGTATTGCTGTCTTTGCGTGTGTTGAAGAATTTTTAATATGATAAGTTGTTTGGAGTGGGTACTGGAATTTTTAATATTATAGAAGTAATTGGTGACCCATTTGCCATTTTAGGTAAGAATTGATTACATGTATGTGAATATGAAGAATTCTCAATTAGTGATTCATTTACCATCCCTATAAGAATTTTTGTTGCAGAATTAATATTATCATTTTTGACTTGGGGAATTTGTAGATCTAATTTTTTAATGTGTATGCGTGCAGATATAAGAATGGAAACGACGCCGATCTGTGTGTATTGTGATCATACTGTTGTAGTGGTTGGTGGTGGTGATCAATGTGTGGTGCGTTTCGAGGCAGTGGTGGTAAGATGATACCAAGATTTTTTGGTGGTGCTGGTGGTGGTAGAATGGAATTGGTTGGATGAAGAGTGGTTGTGGCCAATTATAGGGTTATTGAGTGAAAAGAATGAATAAATTAAATAATATGAGACTGAAAAATCTGATGATTAAATTTGTAATTATGACCTATAATTTGCGTATTTATGATCGATAAATAAGTTATGATTAATTAATTAAATAAATTGTGACCCAAAAATAACTTGTGGCCAATTACTTTAATAATTTGTGAGTTATAAAATTTGTGATTTATAATTGAAAAATAAGTCGAAACTGTTATAAAAGTGAAGAAAAAAGAAGATAACAGAGAAAAGTAAATAGACTTGTGTGTATTTTATTAAGAACCAAAATCCTGTATTTATAGGGCAAAATCAGGGATACAAAAGTAATAATTTCTAAGGTTGTAG